ATGCTGCCGGGGTAGGTTGACATAATAGTTAAGAAATGGTGTTATATTTATCTGATATAAGTATTCGCTTGTTGAAATAAATTCCACAAAACACGCCTTACACTTGATCAAATCAACCAGAGTAACAGGCCGAGTTAGTTATGTAGATAATGCTAGTAGCACTCGTATTGGTTTGGTTTTCATGTTTTCAGCCTTGTTGCTCCGAATATGGGGTTCTCCAAATGCAATGGAAAGAATTCCGGGCAGTTTAGGATGGCCTATTGTGGGAGAAAGTTTTTCGTTCCTCTCTTAGTTCTCGATTCCTGCAGGCATATTCAGTTTCATGTACAAGAGACAACAAAAGTACAGATCGAAACCAAATCATTCGATTAATATCTGTAACTTGGAAATTAAATTACCTTGGTCTCAATATTTGTCATTTGTGTTAGGTACGGTTCATGACTGGGAGAGAAGCTAGCAAGATAATGTTAACAGGCAAAGACAGGCTAGTGAGCTTGAATCTCTTTCACAGGAAAGCAGGTCCTTGGGCCGACAAGCTTGCTTCCACAGACGGGAGAAGTCACAAAAGAATTCGCCGAATGATTGCAGCCCCCCTTTCAGTCGATTGCCTAAAACACTATTTCCCGTTTATCAACAATTTGGCAATAGAGATGTCGGATCAATGGAGTGGACGTATTCTTCGTTCTTGAAGAGGCTTCCACGGTTGATTTTCAAAACCTGGACCAAAGAAAATATGTCAGATTTCTCAACATCTAAAAACTTTTACAGTTCACACTGAAGGTGACAGGCAACATGATAATGAGTTTAGAGCCAGATGGTGAGGAGCAGGAGAAGTTCCGAGAACTTCATGATATTCTATGTAACAGAGAGAATGGATCAAGTCTTACCTGGTCGGAAGTTAAACAATATGCCATACACCAACAAAGTTATCTGCATCCTTAACACTGACTATTTTATCATTTTATGAAAATTTTTAAGTTTATCAGCTGAATTATCTGGCGCTTAATCTAATAGGTGATCAATGAAACTCTTCGAGGAGCCACAATCCAACCTTGGTTTTCAAGAAAAGCAGCACAGGACTTCGATATTGATGGTAAAGTTCTTGCCAACTGGACGTTCTACACGAATATTCAAAACTATTGTGGTATTAAACTAAATTCTTATGAACTTTTATGATATAAAATTTAAAAAGGTTGGTCTGTTAACTTGGATGTTGTGCTATGCACCATGATCCGGAGATTTTTCCACAGAAGTTTGATCCAACCAGATTTTCTGTAAGCTTCTCCATGAAACATGAAGAAGGATAGTTCTTTCACCCTTCTCTTTGCATAATAAGAAATGGTTCTTGAATATTTCAGGATCCCATAAAACCTTTCAGCTTCCTTGGGTTTGGAAGTGGACCGCGCATGTGTCCTGGAATCAATCTGGCCAAGCTGGAAATTTGTGTTTTCATCCATCACTTGATCTGCAGATACAAGTAAGACTAAATAAGGAATTAATAACAAGTTTGATACAACATATTGGAAAGGATTGGATAGGACAATATAAAGATTTTAGCTTTTCTTTTTTTTCCACCCCCCCCCCCCCCCAGGGGCGGACGCAGAACATTTA